GTTTCAATAATTAACACATTGCATACATTCTTCCTAGTGGTTAATTGCTGTACAAGATGCGGACATGATATCTTATTTACAAACACTATTAGAAAAAAATCCCTCTATTCATTAAGAGAACATAACTATATATCTATCCTAACCATTTTGAATACTCAGATACAAAATGGACATTCATCTGTATCCCATTTTCTTGTTTAGTTCTGTCATTTGAATATTATAGGTGTGTTAACTCAGCAAAATATTCTAAGAGTCCAGTAGTCCATAATAGTATTGGGTCTTCTGCTTTACTGGCAATGTCAGAAATTGTTGACCTGAGTCCCCTACAGCTCAACATAAAAAATTGTAAGTAATTGTAAGCATGGCTTTACTTCTTATGCTTCATTTTTATACTTTTCTGCTGAATGGTTAAGACCAAGGTAAAGCAGGACCTCCAATACTATTATGGACTACTGGACTCTTAGAATATTTTGCTGAGTTAACACACCTATAATATTCAAATGATGGAACTAAACAAAAAAGGGGATACAGATGAATGTCCATTTTGTATCTGTGTGTTCAAAATGGTTAGGATAGATTTATAGTTGCATTCTCTTAATGAATAGAGAGATTTGTTCTAATAGTGTTTGTAAATAGGATATCATGTCTGCATCTTGTACGGCAAATAACCACTAGGAAAAGAGTACGCAATGTGTTAATTATTGAAACTATCCTACCAATTTGATCTGAAACTGTCTCATTGCTATATGACTCTTAATAAAATTATGGGAAGAAACAGTAAAAAAAATGGGTAATAAATGAAAGCAAGAGACAAGAAAAGAATGTCACAGGACTGTTCTACTACAATGCTATATATGGTTAGATTTCTAAATTTCTGTGTAAAAATATGTAATTGTATATTCCTATTGTTTTAAATTTAAAAAAAAATTCTTTCATTTTTTTCTCTTCCCATTTTGTAGGGATTTAGAGTTTAACGTATCAATACTTGATGGAAAATACCTGTTGCATGTTATGTCTAAGATGCTTGATATTTGGACAGATAGGTTAAGCGCAAGTGCCTATGTCATAGGGTAGTAATATCAGTAAGCTTCTCTTCTGGAGGGTTAACGACTTACGTTGGCAGACCAAAAATTAGAGAAAAGGAAGGACTACAAGGACAGCCAACATTTGGCCCTAGCCTTTCAAGGTCAGTGAAGACTCAGGACATAAGAGAACCTGTACTGTAACATCATGTAACTCAGTTATGTCTCAAATTTACTGATCAAGGAGATTATGGAGCCACAGAAAAAAGTGATCGACAATGCAGAGTGTGCCTAAGGAGAGTCACATGGAGAGAAAACATTCTCTCAGGCTTTCACAGAGAGCAAATTGGTCAAGCAATAGCCGTAACTCATCCACATGGCTGACACTCACAAAGAATCTACAAACTGCGGTGCAGGGTTTCAGGGTAAATCCTGAAGGGATTTGACTGACCTTGTCAGATATAAAAGTTACATTTCTTGTTATATAGGTCTTGCTTTATCTTGGTCTTAACCATCCAGCAGAAAAGTATAAAAAGTAAAGGCATATTAATATATGCTGAGCTGTAAAAGCCTTAAGTCAACAGCTTCTGACATTGCCAGTGCTGTGGATAACCCACTACTATTATGGACTACTGGACTATATTGGATTATTTTGCTGAGTTCATGCAGCTACAATATTTCAATGGCAATGGAATACCCTTCTCTGACAAAACTACACAAAAAAAAGGGGGATACAAATGAAGGACCATTTTGTATCTGAATATACAAAATAGTTAGAATAGATATATAGCTACTTTCTCTTAATTCAATGAGAAGAAAAATTTGTACTGATAGTGTTTGGACAGAATATCATGTCAGGATCTTGTACTATGAATAACCACTATGAAGACAACAATATGCAAGGTATTAATTATTGAAACTGTCCCACTAAACGGTTTTGAAACTATCTCATTGCTCTTTCTCAATAAAATTAATAAAAAGTAAAATAAAATAAAATTATACTGGTTGCTATCATCTCAAAAATAGCTTATTATAATCAAAATGTTTTTGTAAGCTTCATGGTAATCATAAGCAAAAATCTGTTATTTACAAACCAAAACTATTAAAGAATCAAAACATACTACCAAAGTAAATCATTTAACCACAGAGGCAGAAACTGTTATAGAGAGAGAAAGAAGAGAACTGAACAAGCACTACGAAATGAGTTACACAATGGCTGTAGTAAGACCTTCCCTATCGGTAATTACCTCGAATGTGTGTAAATTCCCAATTAAAAGACATAAAGTGACCTGGTAGATAAGAAAAGAAGACCTATTTTTGCTTATAAGGTGCTCACTTCACCTCTAATGACACTAAGACTGAAGAGCAGGCTAGAATAAGATATTCTATGCAAACAGAATCCAAAGCAAGTAAGCATAGTCAAACTTAGATGAAGTAGACTTGAAATCAAAAGCAGTAGAAAGAGACAAGGGAGGTCATTATACAATGTTAGAAGAATCACTTCATCAAGAGAAAAAAATATTCCATATATTCAGTACCCAAAATGTATAAAGCAATATAGGATAATGGAGATAAACTCCAGTGTAGTAATAGTTGGGGACTTTAATGCCCTACTTTTATTCAGATAGAAAATCCACAGAGAAGCAACAGAGCTAAGTTACCCTCTAGACCAAATGGCCCTAACAGACCTCGAGATAGCATCCCACTCGTTAGCCTCTGAACACACATTGTTAGCAGCTCATGAAATGTCGTCCCTGATCGAACAGAATGCTTGCTAGGCCATGAAGATTTTAAGAAGTTGAAGTTAAGTACGATATTTTTTCTGACCACAATGCAACAAAACTAGAAATCAAACAAGAAAAACTCTTGAAACTATACAAATAAATGGAAATTGGACAATTTAATTCAACTAATGGATGAAGAAGAATTTAAGAAACTTTTAAAATTCCTTAAAACAAATGAAATTGGAAACACACAGCATACCCAAGGCTATGGCATACAAGAAAAGCAGTGAGTGCTAAGGGGGAGGTTTATAGCAGGTGCAGTCTGCAGCAAAGAGTAGAAGGATCCCAGATTTAAAACTTAAAAACAAGGACAAACAAACAATTGTCGCATCTGAAGAAACTGGAAAACAAGAAAGCCCAAATTTAATAGGAAAGAAAAATACAATAATGAGCAGAGAAGAATAAACGAAATGGAGAGGGAGGTGGGGTGGGAAAGTTGATCTCTGGGTACAGACTTCTAGGAATGAGGAGTTCTGGTGTGCATATTGTGCTATACAGGGACTAATGTGTAAAAAGCTAGAGGAAAAGATCTTGAAAGTTTTCACTATGAAAAGTTGAAGTTTTTGAGGAGTTCAGTGTGTTATACCTGTTGTCTCAGTTATTCTCCTCTTGTTGCTGGGACAAAATACCCAACACCCAAAACTAAGGAAGGAAAGGTTTCTTTAGCTCTCAGTTAGTGGAGGCTTCGGTGCACACTCAGCTGGCTCCAAGGCAGAGTGGCACAGGGCCGAGGACAGCAGCTCATGGTGGCTGGCAGCAGAGAGCAGCAAGCACAGGGCGGGGCAGCAGCTCAGGCAGCTGGCAAGCCTGTCCCCTGCTCACATTGTAGTGCAGATTACCTGCCCAGGGCAGGGGCAGCATCCACACCCACAGTAATCAGTCACAAACTCCAGAAGCCGCCCCAAGACTGCATGAGGCTTTGGGGGACACCTAGACACAAACCACAGCACCTGCTTTAAGCATTGTTCAGTGTATACAAGAATCAGACTTACATGGTGCCCCAGCGATAAGCATCATATTTATGCTTTTATGCTTCAGTTTCAAAAAAAAGTAAAAAAAAAAAAAGAAGGTTTAAAGACGTTTGTCAAATTCTGAGGAAGAGTGCATCCAACCAGCAGCCTGGCTCCTGGGAACACCTCCCAAGAACCACGTGCCGTGGCCCGTCCTGGCTTGAGCAGGCCGTAGTACAGCATGCCTACAGTAGACCCGCTGTGGAGGCTTTGTGTCTTCCTAGATGTTCTTATCTAAGAAAAGATCTGTGCATTGCACTGAAATAACCTTGTGTTACAGAAAAGGAGTTTTCTGTATTGCCCACTAACGCTGAGGTTTCTTACTTAGGTGAGTACGAAGCCCCAGTGGCAGCAGGCAGCTCCGTCATTCCACCTGAATGTGAAGCAGGATGATGAGATCCTAGAGCCTTTTACTGTCAAAAATGAACAGTCCTATGGTAAGAACATTAATTCTCATACTAAATTTAAAGAGACTTTCTATAGGAAAAAAGCCCCATGTGACATTTAGTTAATAGAATCATAAAAATATAAAACCTAAATGACATTTATGTCAAGTAGAAAAATTTCTCCTAAAAGTTTTCCATTTCAGAAAATAATTGATCCCAGCTCTTAGTCATTTCAAGTCATTGTGAATGCTGTAAGCCCTGATATTTTAGGAATTGGGGCATTTATCACAAAACTTTTATTTGTTGTAGTCAGAATTTGCCTTTGTGCCAAAGGCTGACAAGGTTTTTTTCTAAGAAGTTTTTAGTTAGGCATAAAGATACTTTCAAATTAGTAATTTAATGTTTTATTATTGACTCATTTAAATATAGTATTTATCTGATTAATTGCTTTAATATTAATCTTTTATAATTGTTATTGAAATATTTTTAAATGATTATTTATGCATATTTATTTGTTTATTTACTATTTGATGCATGGTCTTGCTACACAGTTTGGGCTCTTAGTGCTGGGATTACAGACATACGCCACCACGCCTGGTCTTGGGCCTGGCATAGCATGCAGTACCAGGGATCGAACTCAGACCCTTGCGCTTGTCAGGCAGGTGCTTAGACCACTGAACTATCTCCCTAGCCCTTTAAATATTTTTTAATAGTTGTTTTTGATCATAGTTTTAATCTTGTTCATTTTTAAAGGGTCTGTGTAAATATAATTGAAAAATATGTTCAGTTGATCAAAATATACTAAATCAGTTGAATACTCTTAAAATGAATGTTTCTATTTGTGATGATGTAAGATAATAGTAGTTTAACCTGAGAGTAAAAGAAAATAAGTTATACGTAGGTTTCCTTGAGGACTTAAAGTCTATTATATTTTCTAAAGGTGCTTTATTCAAAGCACTTCAATATTTTAGCTTGCTTTTAAGAGAAAAAATCTTTTTTTTTTTTTTTTTAATTTAAGCTGAATATGTGGAACGCTTTGGGAAAAAAGGCAAAATCTTCCACCAAGTTGATAATGCTGAGCCGTCTACCTCCAGGTCAAAGGCCAAGTCTCTTCATGGGGAACGAGAAAACCTTAGAAGCGCACTTGTTAACGTCATCCTGTAAGTTCCATTTGCTAGCCAGAGTTACCCTAGATAGACCCTGAGAAATTTTATCTGAAACTATAAGAATTGTGTGCATATCTAAGGATGCCTGAGAGCCTTTTTGCAATGTTGATGTTCAAGGAATGAAGGGGTTTGAGTTTAGCCCCGTTAGGCATGTCCCATCGAGAAATAGCAGGCTTGTAAGGGCACCAGTGTGAGGACTTGATGTTGGCTGAGTGGTCACGATTTTGAGTGTTCTGTTGGTAGCCATGTGGGTAGGGGAAGGTTTGGCCTCTTGTTTTTCCCCATATCATCTGCTCAGGTATTAGAGTGAGGTGACTTCTCTTGTACTGCAGGACTCTTCGTGTAGACAAAGAATGGGCACAGTGTAAGACGGTGCAGCTGTGTACTTTAAAGGAGCTTTTTGCCTTACTACCCGGTACTTCTGGAGTACTAGAGATGGGAGTCTTTTCTGATTGTCTTTGCTTCTATGGTGTAAGAAATGAAGTCTGTTTTTAATTGTTTCACTGTGTCTCTGTGGTGCTGAATGGAGACAGACCTATTGAAGTTCAGTCTTGAGAGTGTACTTTAGTAGTTTATTTAAGCCCGCCTGCCTGACTGTGCATCTACCTACCTACCTGCCTGCCTACCTTTGTGTGTAGCCCTAGGTTGGAATGCAGGGGTCTCGAGCAAGTGTTCAACCACCGAACTGTACCCCCATTTGTAAATACCTTTTTGATACTTCTTAAATATGTGTTTTTAACTTCTGCCAATATATTTTGTGTGTTTTACTTGCCATAAATTGGCTTTGTTTTAAATCTTTCTTTTGCTTTTCATTCACTTGGATTTTCTCAATTTTCTCTTTATTGCCACTGACTTAAAAATTATGAAATATATTTGATTTTTAAATGACTATCCTAATCTTTAAAACTATACATCTTTAAAACTATAATCCAGAAGAAATGCTGATGGTTAGCGCAGGCTGAGAGGTTTTCGTTAGGCCCAGGGATCAAGCCTGTCCGTTAGTTCCCTCTTAACCACGTGTTTTCCTTTGAGACCACTTCAGTTCTGTCCCAGCCTCCCCCACCCAGGAAGCGGCTGCCCCGACCCATCCACAGCCTGCCCACTTTCTCTGTCACTGCCCTCACTGCACGCAGACTTGTCCCCCCCTCTGAAGACTGTCTTGGAGAAGTAAAGGAGAGAGTCAGCAAATTCAGCGTTCTCGTAGCCCTTCTCCAGGGAGGGGTAATCATTTGTTAGTTTCTGTGCCTGATCACTGTGTGACACTGACAGAGAAATGCCCTTGGGCTCAGGAGGCTCAGTCACTGCAGCACGAGCTCTGTGGGAGACTTGGGAGGCAAGCAAAAGCCAAAAAACGTGAATTTGTCCCTTTAGCACTGACAACCCCACCGGATGTAGTGATGCACCCCCAGAATCCCAGTACTTGGGGGGCTGAGGCAGGAGGATCTCTGCAAGTTAAAGGTCAGCCTGGGTACATAGTGAGTTGAAGGCAGCCTGCACTGTGTGGTAGAAACCCGTCTTTAAAAAAACCTAAAAAGCAAACAAACAAACCAAAGCTGGCAACCCCTCTCAGGGAGGTGAGAACTTTCCACCCCTTGCATGTGCATTGCACACATGTAATGACTTCTTTCCAAAAAGTGTAATATATAAAGGGGGAGAAGGATTAAGTTCAAAGTGGAGAAACCTAACAAATAAACCAAGGCCAGGGCATCACAGTGGTGAGTCGCATGGGTAGCCCATGCTCTTGGTGTTATGAAATGAGAGGGCATTCCCGTCCTGAGGTCCTCTTCCCCAAGACCCACACCCCAGTCTAACCATATGAACCACATCAGACAAAACCAGCAGAGGACCAGCATTCTTCCAACTTCGAGGCCATCAAAAACAAGGAAACTCTAAGAAACTGTCACAGCTAAAAGGAGCCTAAATATAATAGGATAATCTGGAGAGCATCTTGGAATATAAAAAAGATACTAGACTAAAAACTAAGGAAATAGGAAAAGTCCTCTTTCCTGAATGTCATTCCAGTGTGTAATCAGAATTCAGTGTATGCTGCTGCTGAGTGGCTTCCAACAGAAAGTTAGACTTGGAGGGCTGGGGATGTAGCTCAGGCGCACAGTGCCTGCTTGGCAAGTGCAAGGGCCCGAGTTGGATTCCCAGTACCAAAAAAGAATAAGAAAAGGAAGTTAGGCTTGTAAAAACATTGCCACGTGCCCTCATCTACCCTCCGCACCAGATCGGGTGCCAGGTTGCCTCTGGCTCTTTTTAAGGTCAGAAGGATCAGGCGTCATGACGCTCAGAACACTGGGGTGGTCAGGGCAGTGCAGCCAGGGACACAGCATGGAGGACTTCTCTTAGAATTTGAAATTGAGTTCAGATCTTCAGGATAAGCACCCAAAAATGAGATTAGTAGATCAGGTGGTAATTCTACTTGTAGGTCTTTGAGAAACCGCTATAGAATTTTCCATAATGTCTGTGCTGATTTACATTTCTGGCACTGGGTTCGCTTTGGCAAAAGTTCTCTTCTCACTATAGGGCCGGGGAGATGGCGCAGTGGAATAAGCACTTCCCTGGCAAGCGCAAAGGCCTGAGTTCAATCCCTGGTTCCGCAAAAAAAAAAAAAAAAACTTCACTATAAAGCAATCTTTAAGCATCTACCACTAATATCCTTCATAGAGGTACAAATTGGAATACGTTCACCCCAGATACCAGGAATTCCATTCTCATCAGTTCTTGTCCACAACGTGCCAAAGGATCTAATACGTACAGAGTGGAAAGAGAAAAGAGAGGAAGAGTGTCCTGATTGAGGGTGAAGAGGTAGAATTGTCTTTAGTTTTAGATAGCGCAATCATATATACAGGAACTTCTAAGGAAACGTACAATACACTCGAATGGGAAAGCTTAGCAAAATCTTACAATGTGAATGAAATCAATAAGCAAAATTCTATTGATTTTTCTGTACAATGGAAGATAACTAGAAAATGAGATTATATAATTCCATTCATACTAAAATAAAAAGAACAATACTTAGAAATAAGTATTTTTAAAGTATAAGACTTGCGACACTAAAGAGACCCAGTTTCATGGCAAGTGGTTAATCTCTGTTCCAGAGATACATTAGCACAGCCGTGTAATCCTCTTTGTTCAGAATGGCTGGGCTGTCAGTGGACCTTTGTGCCAAGCAGCAGAAAGTGCAGTACATACGTGTAAACAGTGGAATACGAGTTTGCCTAAAGAAGTAAAGACATTGTCATTCACAACATGGATGAAATGGAGAGGGCTGGCGAGATAGCTCAGTGGACTAAGTGCTTAATTAGGCAAGTGCAGGGACCAGGGTTCAGTCCCTGGCACCACATGGCCCGCCGGCCTCGCCTCCTGGGCACGCCGAGTCAGCCATCGAGACCCGGCATGGTGGTGCACGCCTGTAATCCCAGCACTGGGGAGGCTGAAAACAGGAGGGTCACTATGAACCAGAGCTGTGTAGTGAGATCCTCTACCACATACATAAATTAAAAAAAGAAACTGAGGAGTATTGGGGTAAACAAAATAAGCCAGGCATAGGGATACAAGTGCCACATGCTCGTACATACATGTGAGACCTAAAACAGCTGGACCCAGTGAAAAGGGCCCACAAGAGTGATTAGCAAAGGCTGGAGAGGGCAGAAGGGCCAGAGGATGGGGAAAGGGATACTTGTGGTCTGTGGGAATCTTTGCATGGCATGGTAAGTATGACAAATAACAGTGTGCATTGCAAACTCATCAAGAGCATATTTCAAATATTCTCACCGCAGTAAATATTTCAAGTGATGCTGTTTTGCTTTCTTTAGTTATTGTCCTTGTATTTATAAACTGTAATATCCCTGTGTATCCCAAATGTATGAAAGTATAGCATTTCAGTTTATAATAACTAAATTTAAAAACTAATTTTATAAACAATGCATAAAATGAGAACAGGGGTGGAATAAACATGTAAACAAAAAGCAAATGATCTCCCTCCACATCGAAGCACTTTCTTTCCTTTCCCAGTTGTTGAGAGCCTTCGTCACACGTGGCTGCCTGGCTCTCGCCAAGTGGCTTTCCTCAGTCCCTGGAGATGATCACTGGCTTTTGTCTCTGTCCTTACACATAATCCTTTTAATTTATTGCTGGATTTGGTTTGCTAACATTTTTGGAATTTGAGTCTGTTTTCATGACTAACATGCACCTGCACTTCTCTTGGTCTAGTCTTGGCTTTGCTGTCAGGTCACTACCGCTGTCAGGAAATGAGTGGGGAATGTGTTCTTGTGTCTTGTCTTTTCTGAAAGACTTTATGTAGAATTTTTATTATTTCTTCCTTATTTGCCAGAGCTCATTAGTGAAGGCATTTCTTGATGGGAAAATTATCAAGTTACTAATTAAATTAGTTTACTTGATACAGATCCAAACATTAGTATATGAAAAGAAACTAATGTGGTATTTCACACATGGCCTGAATAAAAAATGGAAGTTAGATGATCATCTGTGAGATTGATCATTTGTTTCTGGGGAATGGACTCTTTGCCCGTAGCCCTACAGTGACAGAGGCGCGGAGTCGCAGGGCTAAAAGGGTCCTCCCTCTCACTGCAAGAGCAGCGTTGTCTGCTCCCTCAAGCCTCCGCCTTTTGCCTCCTCTCTCCCTGGTCTGGCTGTGTCCCTCCTGCTGGCATTGTTCCCAGAGGCTGAAGAACATTTGACTCCTAGGAGCCAGCAAGAGCGGTAAGATGAGCATTTCTGCCAGTTAAAAAGCCCACCAGTTATTAAAGCCATGCCTGTTGTGGTGGCAGAAGATGAAGTTAGATTTCTTGATTCCTGAAATACTTTACTGTTGCACTGACTGCTGCTTTCTGCACGATCAATATCAGATTGAGGTCCCATCCGTGGTTAGGGTAAGCAGCTCTTGTCCTTCCACCTCCTGGACACCTGGAGGACCTACTCATCCTTTAGTGGTCACATTCCTACACTTGGTGGACATTTTCCGGACACCTATTGTGTACAGAATTCAGGTAGAACCCTCTTTTTTTCTTCATATAAATTAAAGGAACAAGGGTAATTTTCACAAAATTTTAGATTCCTGGATTTATCAAAGACAAGTTTAAAGATTAATTCCGGGTCCCCACTTTGATGTGGTGTCCTAACCAGGTATCCAATAAACCTCCCCTCCACTCACCAGTTAGTGTGAAGGAGCATTTTGTTACACAGCATTACTGACAAAGGTGGAATTTAAAGCATGACAAGATAATGCTGGAGACTAAAGGTATCCCAGAAAATCTTCTTTTCCCTAAGGTGTGACGATGTGAGCTATGTCCTGCTGCTAAGTGGAGCCCCAGAAAGGGTCACGACATGTGGTTCCTGTGTGACAGGTTTTGAATTGAATTGGACTGCAAACATCGTGGTATTATGTAAACACATACCCATTAAAAGTGCAAAGGAACATATGAGGCTCCGTGTCACTGATTGCTGCCTCGTGTGTCTCTAAAGACCTAAGAACAGGCCTTTTGAAGAATATAACTGTGTCTCTTCCCAAACAGCATTAAAAATCCTATTTATAGGTCTTCTTTTGAACCCCCTGTGTACACACGACCCAATGTTCTTTATGGATAATGCAGCATTCCTTTGCAAAGTCCGAGAAGAGGGAGCTTGATTTTGTAGCAATAAAGAGAGGAAGTTCTGGCCTTTGAGCCAGCTGTTGGAAATCACTTCCACTAGAATTGTCTCCCTGAAAATACAAAGAAAGTATCTGGGGAGTAATGTGGCAGTAAAAAATATTTACACTATTTACAAAGTGTACAACTATTTTTTTTGCTTATGATTTAGTAGGAAACAGTTCTGCTTTTCTCCATTATTTTATGACCTAACTGCTCTTTCTGTACTTTTGAACATTGTGTTTGTCATTTTCTTAGGCAACAAGAGGTTGGTTCAGAATCACCTATCCCTGAAGAAAGCACAATTTCACAAAGGAGCACTTCTGCAATAGAGAAAGACATCTTGGTAACAAGTTATTTCTTTTGCATATACAATTAAAAATAAAGGAAGCAACCAAAGGCACTTTTTATCTTAGGCCTTTTTTTGTGCTCTCCCTTGTGAGCTCTGTGGGTATAGAAGGACATGCAGAGCTCCATCACATTCCTCCATTGCATTAATTAGAGTAAACAGTCCTCCTTTTACCACTCAGAGTAGGATGAAAGATTCTCAGATCTGCAACTTTCCATTTTTAAAGTCAGTATGAGTCATGAATAGCGTTTACACTCTTCTGTTCTCTTTGATAAAATTAACTGCTAATGTACTTTTAACAGAGCATACTAACTTTCTCTAGATGTAGAAATCTTTGAGTATTTCAATTACATACTAAGTAACAAGAGCTTTTTTCCTTTGAGTGAAAATGCTGCCCTGCTAGACTCATACTCCTCGACTGCTGGTAGCAAGCCTGTGGCACACGTGTTGTTTGTTTTTTGTTTAAGAGAAGAGATGTTAATGTATGAGTTGCTTTTTCTAAACTAAAACCTCAGCATTCAGGTTTAATTGCAGGTTTGGCACTTCATGATTAAATTAGTTAGCTTAGGGCTACAGTTTGGGTAGTCCTAAAAGGTTCGCCCTCTTTGCACCCTTACGCGGTCCTCTGTCCTCTTCCACAGTAGTGAGCATCACGACTGTCCCTTGTTAAAGACTTCAGCATTCCTACTTTGAAAGTGTTTTGAGGTTCAGATTTTTTTTCTAAGAAATACAGTGCAAATTCTCGTGAAAATATATTGAAGTTAACGGTCTATTTTTGGAGAAATAATACTAGGTTTTAAATGAACTTTGTATGAACAAATGTGCTAGCAGTTATAAAATTATGTAAAATATTATTAGGCGAACTAAAAAGTTTCCACATCCTGTTGCATGACGTTTCTGTGATTAACATGGAAGAATACTAATTTAAGCTTCACTTCTGGTTAGTAATGATAAAAGAATAAAAACTAATTTTGACTAAAATTTATAAAACACTAAGCTCTAATTGAGCACAGGCTCTGTTAAGTACATTACATATTTGGTAATATACCTTGAAGTTTCATGAAGTGAAAGCATTCATATGAAATATATATTTTTAAAATTTTAAGATATCTCCAATAATGCTCACATGAATTGCAGAAAATATATTTATTATTTATAAATACTTAGTGCTAGCGCTTGGATTTTTCTCGGGGGCTCCCTATTTTGAGCAATGCATTTTCACACCTCCGTTCCCCCCCCTCCTCTTTGTAGAGGCATTACTATTATATCCACCATGGAATTGATACAGACCACGTAGCCCCAATGGAGGACTCCTGGCTAAAACACGTGCTGGACCTAGTTCCACAACACCTGAAAGTCCTCACAGACAGCATAACTGTCCTATCAGATGAAATGCGAGAAGATTACCTGCTCAGTGTAAAGAAGTCAATAGGTGCGTGGCCGATAGTCTCTGCTTACTAACCTGAGTGTGTGTCCCAGTAAGGGTGCTTCTTTGTGGATGGCAAGGTAGTGCCTAATTCTTGGAACCATTTCCTGTGGTACGTTGTCCTTGCAGAGTTGCTGCATTAGTTAAGATCTTATGCAAATTCTATTAATGAAGCGTAGCAAGAAATCTTTCAGAGCTAATCTGTTCGTAGGGATAGATTCCCTCAACGAAGTATAGCCCTGAAGAAAGTCGTAAGTTACTCATTTTAAGCCCTCAGAGTACTTACGGAGTGTCTATTCATGCAGCCGTCAGGCCCCTGGGAGGCAGGCTTTCCCTTCACGCCCCTTCCGTGGTCTCGGTGTGAGTGTGAGACACAGCGCACCTGTGTAAGAATAATGAAAAGTTTCGATGCTCACGATGAGCGACGATCTTACGGATGCCGTAAGTTTAAACATGATCAGTCACAGTGTTGCTGCGAACCAGAAGCTGGGGGACTGTGACTAAGAGAGCTGCTCTGCCCACCACCTGATTCTGTAACTCAGATTTCATCGGAACGTAGTCCATACGCTCTTTCTTGCATGTTGTCTGTGGCTGCTTTTAAGCCACCAGGGTTGAGTTGAGCAGTTATAACAGAATTGTTATGCTCAAAAGTTGAAAATAGTTATAATCTGACCGTTTACATACAAATTTTGTAGAGAGGTAAGTTTGAGTCATAAGAATGGAGTTTTTCTCACTGTGTAGCCCAGGCTAGCCTTGAATTTGTGGGGATCCTCTTATGTCACCATACCCAGCCAGAATGATTTTTAATCATAAGTGAAATAAATCAGATCTGCATGTGTAGACATTGTATTGTTTTACAGTGTAAGAAACTAAAAGAGAGTAAGAAACTAAGTAAGACCCAAAAGGTACAGTAGGTATTGTGAAAGGGATGGGGTGAAGGAGAAGGAAGGGCATACGTATGCTAAGATCGTGGTATTGCTGATTTCTATTAGTTCATTAAAAGGAGCAGTTAATGCTTATATTGTCTGGTAATTTCGTGTGCCTGTGCCTGATAATCTGAGCAACTATTTTGAAGATAGCAATATGCAGTTAACCACTATTAATTTCTTATCCTCTTGTTTTGAAACTATGTATCATCTTTATTTTCTTTATTCTTTTTACTTTAATTTAAAAGATAACAATGTTCAATGTATTAACCATTGTTATGCCCTATTATCTTGTTCTGAAATTTTATTTTTTTCTCTGTAAAATAAAATCTTAAAAAAGAATCATTTTTAAAACACTGATTTCTGGCCCAATCTGAATTACAATCCCTGTATTTGGAATCTATATTCTTAAGGATGTTCTCCCACTAATTGGCTGTGGTATTAAAACTGGTATCATGAATGTTCTATTCAGAGTTGGAAACCCCTCTTGGAGTGATGTGGTTACCTTTCCGGAAGGTGGCATTGGCTGTAGTTAAGATTCTTGCCATCTCAGAAATACAAAAATAAAAAGCCAGGGAGTGGAAGGAGGGGACAGGTGACCCCTAGGCCCTAAAGCGGGTACTAAATGCAGCAAGGCAGTGAAGGCACACTGTGAGGCAACATTACCCCTGCCCTGCAGGAGGAGGACATACCTGGAAGGCCAGGGAAGGTGTGGGTGACAGCAGCTATGTGTGGAAGCCACGGGGGCCTTGTGGACAGTGCTGGTGGCCGATGGACACATGGCTGCTTTTAGCTATGGGCTGCGGTGGGAAGGGCCTTCTATGCCTTTCCTGGTGTCTGAGGGTAAAGAAGTCTCGGAGGGTTTTAGGCGAGGGTGTGATAACATATTTGCATACCAGAGAGTGCACCCTGAGAGCCAGGCAGTCGAGTTAGGAGCAATTGTGGACAAAAGGCCACAGAAGTCCGCAGCAGAGGTGCTGGCTTACAGGTGTACAGCCCAAAACAAGACCGTATTACGCTCTTCAGTGATTCAAAAAGAGATCAGCACATTGCCTGAACCTGCTCCGAGAAAGAAAGCTGCGCCTGACCGTTAGGGCTTGCTGGCCTTCGCCTCAGCTACAGTGTGGGTGTTGAAATGAAGAGCGGAAAATATAATACTCTGAACACTTTGCAGATGGAAGAGTAGGACATGCAGTTAAGAGAATGTGTACTCTCAACGTATACCAGCACGACCAGTTTTCTCTTAAGTTGTTACATTTTCTTTGTAGACACTGAAATAGGTCATTATTAAAAAATACTCTAATGAAATTCAACTGATTAATTTTAATGGGACTAGTTTTATAGTTGCCTGGAAATATGCTGTAACTGGTATAAGTATTTAGCTGACCTTTTCCACTTCCTTTTAGTTGATTTTGTTCTGAGAGATCCCAGAGAAAAAGAGGATGACGCCAAACCACCTGACCTCCCACCCCATCGTGCCGAGTAGGTGGTCGGGCTTCTTTATAGACGTGTATTTCATGTGACTGTGTCTGTGTATGTTTATAGCTTTACATTCTGGCTCTATTTGTCCATATATGTTTATAATTTATATCTAAATATATGCATAAAGTATCTACAAATGTAGGTATACATATTTCGTATACGTGACTATTCTCAGTTACATTTACAAACTTATGGGTAAATGAACAAAGTAGACACATGGAGAGGTGGACACTTAGATATTAAGACAAAAGAATCTGGTGGAAAAACAGTTGAGGTGTATGTAGCTCCACAGTGGGTAGCCCAGGTTTCAGATATGGTAGAAGTGTAAAAGTTCGATGGCACGAAATTAGGGCCATTGGAGAAAATATGTATATGTAGAAGATGCTTCAGTTTACTGCATGGATTAAAATATAGACTGTAAAATGGGAAAATCCACTTGCCACATATTTTCTCTAAAAATGATTAGCATAAAGAATAAATTTCTTGGGCTGGGGAGATGGCTCGGTAGAATAAGCGCTTCCCTGTCAAGCACAAGGGCCTGAGTTCAATCCCTGGTTCCGCCAAAAAAAAAAAAAAAAAGTAAATTTATTATATGGTTTAAAGAATGGAACTTATTTTTATATAATGAACTAATTTTGTTTTGCTTTTTTAAATGTCATTTAAGAGTGCTCCAATGTCTTTCTCATACGACAATAACAAAAACAAAAGCTAAAACCCCAAACTCAAAAGGTCAGGTGGCTATTTCCACACAAGTTCTAGAAAGGCAAAATCCATCCTTTATGGTAATTGTGTAGGTGGTGGTGTGTCTGTGTGTAAAAAACGGAGTTACTCTTACTGTGTAGTAATTTAAGACCGAGTCTTGTAAAATGGTGAGAATAACAGGGCCGGCCAAATAGCTCAGCGGATTAAAGCGCCTGCTGGGGCTGCGGGTTTGATCCCCGGGCCTGCTGTGCTGGCCCCGCACCCGGGGTGCACTGAGACAGCAATTGAGAGTGGGTGTGGTGGCACGCGCCTGTAATCTCAGCTCTTGGGAGGCTGTAAACCGGTGGATCACTACTAGTCCAATCTAATAGTGAGACCCCTGAATACCCTGTAGACTGTTCCTTAAAATACAAAAAAAAAAAAAAAGTAGTGAGAATTAAGAAATCATAGCCATAAAACGAATATATTTGAGTCTACAGACGCTGGCTGGAAGAGGCCACAGGGCCAAAGTGCCCTTCCTGCCCGGCCATGCACGCCCCCAGCTGAGCATTGCGTCCTGGCGGATGAGCAGCTGCTCTCCCGCTGCTCCCTGCTCAGGAGTGCCTGGCTGACTGAGCACAGGGGTGCCTGCCTCCAGCCAGCCCCAGGCGGGAGCGCCATCCTACCATAGCAGTTGCCAGCCTGGGACACCAGCTCCCCACAGCAGCTACCGACTGTGTGCCCCACACGCACTGCCTTTGCATCCAGAGAAGGCAACACAGTCAGAAGTCCTCCTGCCATAAGTTGGGGACCACCTGTATTCTGAAAGATTAAGGTAGCACTTCTGCAATGGATGAAAGAAGATTGCACAAGCCATAGGAGAGGCGAATAAATAGCTGTTACACACGGAGATGACAGAGCTCACAGGTGTTTCCACACCTGGGCGAGACTATTTCTTTAAACTGTTTTAGAAATAAAGTAGAAATTCTAAATATTTTATATTCTGAAATTAACAGAGAACCTTTGCATATGAAAGGCAGCTGGTGATTGTTTCCATTTGATCACTAAGTTATTGTGGGCCTGGTAGGATCAGAGACCAAAGTTAGTTACTGGGTATGTTAAAGACTCAAACCAATTTGGTAATCACTATGTAGGAAATTATGCCAGCCCATAAAGAGTGTGTCGCTGATATACTTTAAAGCATAATGGCATGTTTTGTTATTCCTGTAGAGATGCATCCTATTTTTTTTTTTTTATTATTATTATTAAGATTGGCTCCTATTGCCCCAGAAGCACGCTGGCTGCTCGCTCCCCACCACTTCGGGAGAGCTCCGCCCAGCAACTCCCTTGGCTTCTCAACGAGGATAGCTGTTTCCCTTTGCTTTCAGAATGGGAGTCCTGCCAAAGCCGTGGAGGAAGTCGTTCCTAGCTGCGAGTAGTTACATTCGAGACCACCTGAATGCCATGAACCCCACGATGCTGGCCGTGCTGGACCTGTGGCACACCACATTCAAGTGAGTATTGGGGGCCCGATGGAGATTTTCAAAAGAGAGGGGAAGGCTGTTGTTATCACATCTTAATTATTTTTGCAATTCTAACTTCAACTGCAAGCATTCACTGTGAATTCACTGGACGCATTCAGACACAGTTTTAAGTGAGCAATATGGAGATCCGCAGAGTAAGCTGTGACTGTCCCCTTTTCTTTACACCCATGGCTGCCACTCCCCCACCCAGTGCCATCCGTACATCAAGGGAAGTCACAGTTAAGGAGCTGAATCGTCAGACTTTGTTTAAAATTAGACAAAACAAGCCAGCAGTGGTGACACACACCATAATCCCAGCATTCTGGGAAGCTGAGGCAGGAGGATTATAGTTCATGCCCAAGCTGAGCAATTTAGCAACTTAGCACAACCCTGTCTCAAAATAAAAAATAAAAAGGGCTGAGGGTATTGCCCAATGAGAAGGCCTGGGTTCTATGTCCAGTGCCAAATAGAGAACCCAGAACATCCTTGGTGGAGCTTAGAAACCTAGCTCATCTTGGCCGAGTGGATGGCATGGGGTGAAACTCCCAAGAACTGTGGGGTCACAGTAGGCGCACTGGGTATCATCTTGGCAAGCTACATGGTACTGTAAGTGGTGCTGGACAGAGCAGGCTGACCCCCTGGGACGAAGGCAGTGGTGTGACCTCAGCGTGCTCCTGTTGTGTCCATTCTTCTAACTTGCAGGCCCTGGACAGTGTCCCAGCTCACACAGATGCACATTTTTAAAATCTGTGCAGTAGCCCAGGCTGATGTTTCTTACAGAGCTTCTCTGTACACGTCCCCAGAGCTAGGTCTGCACCAACCCTGAGTGAGGGGAGGTGGCACCTCGTCTCTGAAGCTGGAGTATAAGGGGAAACTTGGTGGTTGTCCTCTTACCGGGACACACCACCTCACACAGCCAGCACAAGGAAGAGGGGCTTATTTGGGCCAGTTTTCAGTCCATGGTCACTGGCTCCAGGGCCGGACAGGATGGCACAGGGCTGTGGTGGAGGAAATAGTGCTCCACTTATGGGGGCCTGGAAGCCAAGGGTGACAGGAGGAGCAGGGAAGGGAGATGAACCCCGACACTTCCACAAACCCCCACTTCCTCACAGCAGCTCAGCTCTGTGACCCCACAATCCCATCGCCTTCCAAATGCAGGAGGCCTCGGGGCCCTCTTAGATCTAACCCACCATAGAGAGGTCTGACATGCCTGGACTCACTGCAGCCAAGCCTTCCCTTAGGCCAGACCTGTGTCCCAGAGATCTCTGGCTTTTACTGCACAGGAGAACAATAAATGAGCACATTCGGCAGCTGGGCTAGGAGCCTGAAACCCGGCGTTGGCTTCTGGGGAAACCCGCTCTTCTGACCTTGCACTGTGCCGTGTGGGTTTCTTTGTCTGCTTACTTTGGCTTGGCATGGACAGAAAGGGGCCACCGCTTTAACTCACGTGTTTCTCTGCTTTTATCTTTTGCATATTGGGGTCTGGCCCCCTTCCTGTCTCAGCCCCCGGCCTCCTCTTGCGTGTAGTCGTAAAGTCACTGTGTGGGTAGGCAGCTTTACCAGGATGTCTGCATCCTCCAGCACACTGATTTTCAAAACAGTGCCTCAAATTTCTGTTCTCTTTTACCTCAGTTCTCAAATGGGATTCCCAGATCACACTGAGTGTTATTGTCCTGAAAAGGCGATCCATACCCTGCCAGCCATTATCAGTGTACAGGAGACGAAATAATGGAAGGAGAAAGGTGGAGAGAAAGTACCAAGGCTGAGATAAGAAACCAGTAAACTGTAGCTGCGTCCCCAGTCAGGCCCTCCTGAATTCCATGCTCCTGCCCTCGCAGTGATTTCTCGTTCAGTGTTCTTCCCCACCACATGCTTCTGTATCCTGCTTTCCAGCTCGTTTTAAAACATAAGATAATGTCGAATGTGTTCACCAAGAAGTATAAAAGGAGATCAGATTATTTTTAGTATATGCTGTTGTGCTACACTGTAGAACTATATTAGGTGAAACATGCATTACATCACTTACTTGTCCAGAATAAGACATTCGAAAGCTTCTATATCAATGGTTGTGCTTACAGTGTCCCTAATGTATTGTTAATGTCAAGGGCCAAAGGCACAACTGGAGATCAAGAGTAGCCTGTTAAAGCAATATAAATGTAAGGAGACTTGAAGTGTTTTTGTTTACTAACCAGTATTTTACATTGGTCTCTTTCTTTCGTTTGTTCGTTCGTTTGTTCGTTCGTTCGTATTTGGTACAGGGTCTCACTCTGCAGCTCAGCCTCGTAGTGATCCTCCCGTTTTCAGCCTCCCCAGTGCTGGGATTTCAGGCGTGCGCCACCACACCTGGACTCAGCGGCTGGCTCAGTGTGCCCTGGGGCGAGCCTGGTGCAGCGTATGGTGCCAGGGATTTAACCCCAGGCCCTGGGCTTGCCTAAGCAGAAGCTTAGTCCACTGAGCTTTCTCACCGGCCCTATGGCCCTACGTTTGCTCTTTAGAGAAAAACTAAATGTGATGTTTTTAACACTGTGCTTACTGTCTTCCAGAATACAATAAAATTACTCAATCATGTGGAAATTAAATAGCCGTTCCTCAAGGGAGGAGATCTGTAGTTAAATTGAGGTCACTAGCATGATGGCACTAAGAGCTAATGGTGATTTTGAATTTGGTTAATCATCTGCCAGAGAAAAATTGTGTCTGAGCAGACCATCTATATTACGAAGGTGTGTAGTGCTGTCAACTGAAAGGAGGTTGTACTGAAAGTTGTGGACCAGGGCCAGCAAGAGAGTTCAGTGGACTAAGCACCTACCTGGCAAGAGCAGGGACCGGGTTCAATCCCCAGTCCTGCATGCTGCACCGGCCCAGCCCCCGGGGGCACGCTGAGCTGGTAACTGAGTCTGGGTGTGGTAATGCACACCTGTAATCCCAGTGCTGGGGATACAGAAAACAGGAGGATCACTACGAGTCCTGCTGTGTAGTGAGACCCTGTACCAAATACATAAAATGAAAAAATAATAAATAAATAAATAATCAAAGTTGTGGACTGGAGCAAGCCACAATTGGGTGGAAACTCAGCCACTCATGGTGTGGGTAGGGCTGCTTTCTTTTTGAGAGGGTGTGAGTTTTGCTTCAGAAATGACATCTTTTTTCCTGATTGAATGGCTGCATTTTGAAAGCCAGACGAAATCTACAGTCTTTATCAAACCCCAGTGTTTGCACTGCTCTACTTCATGGTGAATTTCATAAGCTCATACTGCATTCCTATTGAATTGAACAATATAAATTATTTTAAAATTCAATGTATCTCATGTTCTTAAGTGTTTATTTTTATAGAACATACTCTTCAGGATAAAACTTTAGGAATATATTTTTTTGAGAAGAAAACAATTAGCAAGACTATTTTTTTTTGTAAATTTTTATTTATTTATTTATTTATGTGTGTGCGTGTGTGTGTGTGTGTGCATGCATGCGTGGCCAGCTCAGCCCACCAGGGGGCGGGGCTGGCTGGCATGTGGTGCTGGGGGATTGAACCGCGGTCCCTGTGCTTTGCTTTGCTCAAGCTTGTTCTAAGTCGGTGCTTTAGACCACTGAGCCATCTCACCAGCCCCAGCAAGACTATTAAATACCAAAATCACCTTGACTTTGAATTATCATTCTCTTTTGTCTATTGCAGAAAATTACGTTTAGTTGACACTGAAGAATTCCACAACCGCCAGGATGCGCTGGAGCTGTCAACCTTCCAGAACGTTATCATGAAGCACATGGAGACAGCCAAAGAGATTCTGCTTAAAACGTAAAGTTTTAAAATTCCATGAGGGAAAACAAAAGTTTAGAAATGTGACTGGTGTGGTATTGCATTTTAAGCGCTTTAGAAAATCCCATTTCAGCAACCTCCTAAGCATTCTCGAGAGTGCTGTGTTTCTAGTTGTCTCTGCCTATGGCGTATCTCTCTAGGTGTTCACACAGCACAGGTTGTGGCCACCTTTTTCCTAATGCTTGCTTTCTGCTTCTGCTCTGAGAGCAGTGTGTGGCGGAGGCGCTGTGCACGGAGGAGCATCACGGGCTAGTCGGATATTTATGTGACAGCCCTATTAAGTCACGCAAGGCACAGTGCCTTCTTCCTCTGGATTTTGGGGTGGGGATGAAAAAAGTTGAAATGATTAGAAAGGGAAACTACATTGTTTAAATGAGCTTCCAGTCTCAATGAAGTTGTGCTTATCAAATAACAATTAAACTTCTCCAAGAATTGGCCCTTCAGAATGGAATAGCCATGTAGGATAATTAAAAGATATACTCTGGAACAACATAAAAAAATTGTCTCTATCATGGGTCACTGATTTATATAAGTGGGACATTAAAATTAGTGATCATCAAATTTAAAATAAGAAAGGACACTAAATATATAGCATAGCTTCCTGATTTCCAGATGTTACTTAGAAATGCATTTTGATTGCCTTATCTAAATCCTTCCTCTGCCTTTGTTCTCCAAAGAGTTAGTATCAAGTTCTTTGTTTGATACTGCTTGCAAGAATTTTAATTACATGTTATGTTAACATAAAAATTGAGAAATAAAAAATGAAATCCTATAATTAATTATGGAGAAGAAAATGACCTCTTAAGAATTTCTTGAGAGTATATAAATATTCTTGATCCATACCTTCAGGCTTATGCCACACGAATACACTACCATTGTAAATTTTAGCAAAATGCTTGTCTAAGTAATAAGTGGAGTACAAACCTGTATTGAGTAATTTGTGCTGAAAAGCATAGATCGATTGGCGGTGTCTCTTGACGCTTCCTAACGGACTGCAGGGGCGAGAGCCGTCTGGCTGCACGCGAGTGAGCCGGAGTGTGTTTATCATCTCTGTAATGCAGCACGTCGGCTTGCAGTACAGGCGTGATTAGCCAGTGATTGATGGTGACGTCTACACCAGACGCAGCGTCTTTGCCAGGCCTCCTCTCAGCAGCTGCACGGCTCTGTGTGCAGCTTTTTGGAAACCCATTTTGCTGTGCGCTGGCACTTCTTTGGTAATTCTTCATCATCTCTTCTTCTGACTCTATGATCTCATCATCCTCTAAAGGGAGGGGCTCCCTCAGTCTTGTTTATTTTATTTATTTATTATTTTATTTATTATTATCATTATTTTTTTTTCAGAACTGGGGATTGAACTCAGGCCCTTGCCCTTGCATGGCAAGCACTTATTCTACTGAGCCATGTCCCCGGTCCCCTAATTTATTTTTTAAAGAATACAGAATAGTGGTAGGAAAAAAACAGCATTAGAAACGATTCAAAATTTCACTGAACAAAGTAATATGAATTAAACAATATTTGCTGTATTGCATGTTGTTGTCTTCAAATTAGTTGTTCAGATTACCAGATATAAACGTGCAAGATTGGTTTAAAGAAACAAAAGAATAACAAAAACGTTGTAAGAAATTCAAAAGAAAAAAATTTAAGCATTAAAATCTCCTTTCAAAAGATCAGCCGAGGGCCAGGGAGATGACTCAGTAGAATAAGCACTTCCCTGAGAAGTGCAAGGGCCTGAGTTCAATCCCCAGTTGAAAAAAAAAAGATCAGCCAAAATCAGCAGTACAATTATCCAAACCGTCTTGCATATATACCTAAATATATCTTTTTCCTTCTTTCTTTTGTCCTTTTCCTCATCCCATTTTTCCTTCTCAGTGAACAAATTCTTTCCCTTTCAAAGTATCTATTTATACCTTTCAGATTTTGTTTACTCTTTCAGGTTTTCACCCTAGCAAGATGATACGATGTTTGCACATGTGGATCTGATTTATTTTACCTACCAAAATTGTCTCTAATTGTATCCATTTATGTACAGAAACCTCAAATTGATTTTTTGTTTTGTTTTGTTTTTTTTGGCGGAACCAGGGATTGAACTCAGGCCCTTTCACTTGCCAGGGAAGCACTTATTCCACTGAGCCAACTCCCCGGCCCCTTTGATCTTTTTTTTTTACAGCTGAATAATACACCATTGTGTAAAAATACTGTATCTTTTTTTATCCATTCCTCAGTTGATGGGCATTTAGGTTGTTTCCAAACTTTAGCTATAACAAATTGTGCTGCTATAAATATGGGTACACTGATATCACAGTGGTGTGATGATTTCAGTTCTTTTGGACAAATACCTAGGAGGGGAATAACTGGCTTGAATGGGACCTCCAATCCTAGCTTTTTGGGGAATCTCCATACTGATTTCCATAATGGTTGTACCAGCCTGCAGGTTGGACTCCTACCAACAATGGAGAGGGGTTTCTTTTTCCTCTCCAGCATTTGTTATCGGTTGACTTGAAGAAAGCCATTCTTTCTAGCATAAGATAGTATCTCAGTGTTGTTTTCATTTGCATCTCTTGAATGACCAGTGATATTGAATTTTGTTTCATATATTTATTTGCCATTTATGTTTCTTCATTTGTGAAATACATATTCATTTCAGATGCCCATTTTTGGATTGGGTCTTTGAATTTTTGAGGCCTGATTTTTTTTTTAATTCTTTATATGCTCTAGATAGGAGTCCTTTGTCTGAGAGACAGTCAACTATAATTTTTTCCCAATTTGTGGATTTTCTTTTTACTCTGTTGGTGATTTCTTTTTACATTCAGAAAGTTTTCAAAAGCACAAGATCCCAATTGTTGATTCTTTGAAATAGTTCCCGTGCAGTTTGATTTTTGTTCATAAACTTCCTACCTAACCTATATCTTTAGATTTCTACCTACTTTCTCTTCCAGAAGTTTTAGTGTTTCAATTTTAATATTTAAATTTTTTGTTCATTTGGGCTGTAGTTTTGTGCATGGTGATAGGCATGGATCTATTTTAAGCTTTCAGCATGTGGAAAACCAATTTTCTAGCACCATTTATTAAAGAGGCTTTCTTTCCTCCAGTGAACATGTTTGGCCCCTTTGTCAAAGATAAGATGGCTGAGTGTGTTTGTAGTTGTATCTGCATCTTATAATTTGTTTCATTGATCCTCAGGTCTGTTATTTTGCCAGTACCATGCTAATTTTATCACAGTAGCTTTGTGGTGTAATTTCAACTTGGGAATTGTGACACCTCCTGCCTTTCCTTTGTTACCCAGGGTTGCTTTAGCTATTCTAGGTGTCTTCTGGTTCCAGATGAATTTTAGGAATGTTTTCTTTAGATCTGCAAGGTATGCTAATGGTATTTTGTTTCCGGCCCAATCCAAATGCATTACAAAGTAAATAAAATGCTTAAGTTGGCAAGAAGGGCTGGCCAGATAGCTCAATGGATTAAAGCATCTGCTTAGGCAGGTGCAGGGACTGGGGTTCAACCCTAGGTATGCCCTGCCAGCCCCACTCCCAGGGTGTGCTGAGACAGTGACTGGTACTAGGCGTGGTGGCCCATGCCTGAAATCTCAGTGCTTAGGAGACTGAAAACAGGAGGATCAATACAAGTCTGGTCTGTGTAGTGAGACCCTGTAGACCCTGTACTAAATACATAAAAAAGAATCTATCTTTAGCATTCAAGTCCACGTGAATTTACATTTGTATTTATGAAAATAAACTTACATTCAGAAGTCATTAGTGTTCTTCTGTGTTACATTCAATGTAATCAAAACCCATAAACTCTTTAGAAATGATTAAGTACCCATAACTTGATTCAAATAACAAACTTGAGTCACTTAGGATCATTAGTGGTCCTGGAAAATGATTGTAGAATTTGTTTGTTTTTTACATTTAGTAGAGGGTCTACAGGGTCTACAGGGTCTTACCACGTAGATTGGATGTGTGTTGATCCACCTGTGTTCAGCCTCCCAAGCACTGGGATTACAGCTGTGCACCACCATGCCCAGTCTCTAATTGTAGAATTTATAAATATAAAACATTCTTTGGTGAAGTTTGATGGGAGTTAATTTTTTTTCTTTTTAGCCATCACAAATAGGACTTTATTTATTACTATTAAAACTCTGGATCTTAAACGGACTCTTGCACTGGTGGTTCACATCCATCAGCTCATTCAACTTTAGCTCCAGTCTCATCTCCAGTAGCCTTTCCAGAGCTGCTACCTTCACCATGAAGCTCCATGAGTTTTTCCAATTCAAACGTGGGCTTCTTCATCATTTTTACTTTTCTGACAAAGACATCATGAAGAGGGTAGATAGACTGGCAAGCCTTTTCCGTGTCTTTCCCATGCTGTCTGGAATCAGTTTATTGGCCACTTCCTTCAAGTCGTTTGTCTGCACCTCCCGGGTCATGATTTCCATCATCTTCTTCCGGATCTGGCGGACCTGTTGGTGCTGAGCGTGAGAGGTCTTCCGTATCTGATTGTTGCGTTTTTTAGTAAAGCCAACACAGAACAGTCAAAGCAAGCAACCATGGGTAGTCTTGACATCAACATGAGCTTCGATCATGGTCTGCCATTTTTTGACCATGGAACACATTTTGTCCCGGGTGAGGTCCATGCCATGGAAGTTAGTCAGGCAGTTTTTGCCCTGAACATCTTCAGTAATTAGCTTGAATTTTCTAAAGGCAACTTCATCATTCTGCAGGTCAGCAAGGCTCACTTCAAACACACGACCTTTGAGCCCATCAGATGCAATTTTGGTTCCTTGGGTTCTGGTTACGAGTGTTTTTCCAATATTTCTTATGTTGAACATAGCTGGTGCCTTCACAGCATACCAGTCTTTTTTAGAAAATGAATCAACCACTTTTTTCTTGGCTCCTTTTTTGTTGCCTTTCGTAAGAGGCTTGTTCTTGCTTACTGCCATAGTGCTGCTCAGAGAGCCAAAAGGCGGGAGTTAATTTCTAAAGCAA